TTTTTTTTTTTTTTAATTTTTTTTTGGCAATTAATAATGTTATATATATTTTTTATTTTGGGCCTTTTTCTCTTATTATGTTCCACTAATTGTATGGGCCATGTGAGTGTCATTATGGTCCACTAATTGTATGGAAATATATGTTCATCATTCCCCTATAATAGACCACTCTTTTGATTACACTTCAACTTGGAAACTTTACTAAAGCAGGCCAAGAATTTAATTATCATATCATAAACTCAGAAATATGAAAAATATGATCATGTTGTATGATAGGAAGACAATCCCCACATCCGCCGTTCGATACAATCATATGGTTTGCTATTATGAACCCTTTTAGGTCAAAGTAATCATATAGAATGGCAAGAAAAAAGAAAAAAAATTTGAACCATAAAGTTTCATTGGCTTGTAGTGGAGATTGGAGACTAATATTTGTTTTGTGAGGAAGCCCAATGAAATATGTATCATTACTCATTTTTTTCGTGGCAATAATGACCGACATATGTAGTCATTGATTGTGGTCAAAAGAGTAAGGGGGAAAAAGACAATGGTGGTGAGGTTATATAATGCTACAACACAAATAATTTCTTAAAGTTTGAAGATTAATTTCACGGTTACACTAACGAAGGGGTCGATGGTGTAAAGATTCATAACTATATATATGTGGGTGTAAATTATTAATTTAAAAAAGTTGAGGACGAAACTGAGTACAAACAGTAATTAACCAACCCTAAAATTTTATTTAAAAATATTATTTCTAGCTAATTATGTTATAATTGATTCTCTCTCCCTTTAAAAGTTAAAAAATAAAAAATAAAAAATAAAAAATACCATTAATTAGAAAGGTCATATTGAGCAAAAGGTGATTGAGAAAAGCTTGGTGGTGACTGGTGAGTGGAAGTGGAACTCACCTCCCTAGGCTACAATCTTCCACTTTCATAATCTTGTATAGAATAGTTGAGCCTAATTTATTTTCTTATGAATGGGAGTTGTTGATGTCTCAAAAAGTAATCATTGCTCGAAGGACATGGGCATTCTTTTTCTCTCCCCCTTTCCCTAACAAATTCTTTATAATTAGTTGATATGTCATGAGGATTATACAAATAATTTAGTATTACGATGTAATGATGAACAAGATGAATGGTTGTACTCCATCGTAACCTTATCTTGCAAACCAGTGCAGGACCATACATAATTTTAAAGTGTAAAGTTTGTTAATGTCCATTAATGGTGTAATTAGTGTGTAAACAAAAAATTAATTTATTTTATTTTATTTATAATGCCACAGGAATCAAATCTCTTTATAGAGGATGGTGAGGGACTGCGGATTAGATAGCCTAGCTAGATAGATACACATACAGATCACATTTGTAAAGGAAAGATTTGCAATTTATATATGTATGTTTATTAATTTAAGTACTTCCTCAAAAGCCTCAAAAGGTTCTTTGTGGTATGGTGGTTGTGACTTGTGAATAAGCATGCTTGCTGAAAGGTTACGTTGGGATTTCACGGTTTCAATTTTATGATACGGCACCAATTCAATATGTATGGTTCGTACACACACACACCCCTAGATAGTTAGGAAGAGGGAGGGGGAGAGAAAATAGTCAAATTTGTTTTCTTCAAATAGTACTTTTTTTTATATTTAATTTTTGGTTATATTGATATTAAAAAGGATGATCTTTCGATTCATCTTAATCGGAACATATTTTCCCACCCTTCTTCACCACTTAAGTTAGCTTTAAATTGCAAAGAACCCATAAGTGTAGTGGTTTAGAGCAATTGCTTCTCTAGAAAAAGTAATATATTCGAGTCCTAGCATCCTTGAAGTGTGTGAGAGTTAATATATATATATATAAAAGTTTTCTTCACATTTTATATAGTTAAAATGCTTCTTTAGGAAGTACTTCTAATTATAAGCGCTTCTAGCCAAAATGCTTATATTTTAAAAATGTTAAAATTTTCATAAAAAATCCAAGAGTTTACTGGAAAAGCACTTACGACTGCTTCCCAAAGAAACACATACTAGGTGCTTCTCCACAAAGAGTTTCTAGCTCCATAAGCACTTTTGCCAAAAGCGCTTTTACCCCCTCTAGAAGCATCCAAAAAGACCGTTGGATTTTCGGCCTCCTCTCTAACAATACCTATTCTTCTGAGAGATTTGGGGACTAAACGAGTTTTGGTCCTCGGGAGCTTAGGCTTTAATGTGTGAGAAGGTTTTGAGAGTATTGGGGTTTTGGGTTTTGAGGTTAAAGAGTTGTTGGAAATCTTTGCAATTGCTTTTGCTTATTGGGTAAGTATACCCTAAAAAAAAAAAAGTGTGTTCCTTCTTTTTCTTTGCATTTCTTATACTTCTGCTGCATTGTTTGTTTGTGTGTTTTGTGTGAATCTTTTCACAATAATATATATTTGAAATCTTTGAATTATTTGCTATGAGAGCACAAGAAGCTATGCTTTTGGTGATAATCTTTGGTCCTTATAATTTGGTGAAAAATAAAATGAAGGGGGAGAACAAAATTAATTAGTTTGCAGTGGAAGATGGAAAAACAAAATATGGAGAAAACAGTTTGAATTAACAAGGAAAGAAAGAAAAAAAAACCCCACATCCTATTTAGAAAATTAGCAGTTGTTACAGAAGCAGACAATATGGCTAGTTTTGTTCTTGAGAGAGGCATATATAGAATATAGCTCTCACTCAAGAAATTTGGATTTTCTTAGGAAGACAAGAACCCAAGAAACCCTCCAAAATGCCTTCTTCTTTGTCACCCAAACAGAGCCTTACAAGTATACCCTCTTTCCCGCTAAGTTTAACCGCCCTCAACCTTGTTTGAAAAATGTCTTTCAGCCATTTCTCAAACAAGCTATTGGGAAAATAACCAGATCCATTACAAATCCCCTCTAACACCCTCTTATCCACACTAAAACTAACCACGTTATGCTTCCCATATACCTCTTCAAAACACCCTTCAATCTTGGACATGAAGAGCTCGCTTATCTCTCGATCTCTAGCCGGACTTCGATTGAAAACAAACATGTTCTCGATCGATTCGAGGAACCCATGTGGGGTTTGGAGATCGGTGGTAGTTTCGCGAGTCAAGTCACTTGAAATGGGGCTCAGCTCCCCTGCTTTGTCTTCAATTTCATCATCCTCTCCAGCCATGAGGTTGAGATCAAGGGTGTTGAAGCTTGATTGCCTTGAGAAGTCCTTCTTGCTATTCACATTCTCAACAGCAACCACACTTAGATCTTCCTTCTCTTCAATTCTTGGAGTCTTGGTCTTGATTTGTAGCTCCCACTCAGCCTTTCGCTTGTGATCGAAGTTAACTCCCCCAAAACTTGGACTAGTACTATGTTTTTCGTCAACCTTCAATGTCATTTGGATTATAGATTTCAGGTACTTTGCCTTGTCTTCATATCTTGTGGAGTCACCCTTAGTCAAGATGAATATGGCTTGGCCTAAATTCCCTTCTCTTCTACTGACTTCTCCGAATTTTCGTGTTTCAAAACCATCAGCTAAAAATTTCAAGAACTGGGTGTCAGCCAAGTCAACATCTTCTACCAGCACGACGAGTTTCTCATTGGATTTCAAGGCTCTTCCTAGGACTTCTGCTCTTGGGTTCATCTCATTGTCTCTTTTGTTCATGTTGAAATGGAGAAGTGAATCAGTAGAACCCATAACTAATTCTGCAATTGCCTGCGCCAACCTTCTTTTTCCAATTGAGTCATTCCCCTGAATCAGCAACCAAGTCTCCTGCCGGGACGATTTGGAGTCAATGATGGCTTCTACTATTGAAGGAATGGATTCTGATTGCCAAGGAACATTCTCTTTCAATAGCTTACACATGTCAGCTCTCTGCATTGTTCTTTCACTTCTTTTTCTTTCCACCGATTTCCCTGAATCAGAAAACACAGAGTTGCCAAGAGCAAGGGTGATCTTTACTTCCTTGCCTTCAGTGCTTTTCAGAGAATCCAAACTTGGTTCCACCACTTGATTTTTTTGGACCCCATTATTGAAATTGAACTCAATTGTGCACGATTGTTGTCTCCTGAATCGAGGCACGAGATTAGAGCCATGGGTGGGTTCTGAAGCTGGATCATGACCAAAGGAGATTGAATTCAAATCCGGGGAGACCCCATTTCGGGTAGACCACCAAGGGTATGTTGAAGCATAAGAGTAGTTCTTTCCAACTAAGCCTTGATTGTTGTACAAATTAGCAGAGCTCAAATGATTCTGAACTGCATGCCTTCCTTGGTGCTGCAGACTGTAACATAATCTGTTCCACTTTCTCCTCAACTCAGCCACTTCATCCTGAAAATTATAATGATATATCAGAACTAAATTAAAGAAAAATAATAATAAATCAATCTTGCTGGCTCAGTTATCACTAGGTTTCCTTTTTTCTTTTTCTAAAGTTGTGATCCATAAGTCAAAAAGTTCTTTCACAAATGAATGGTACCTTTTGACGGGCTTCGGTGCCATGTGGTTGCAGCCAGGCAGGCAATTTCTGCTGGCCAGATTTCAGCTGCTGAGCTTCTTTTTCATAATTTGAAGTGCATTCTTCACAGCAAGTGATGTTATGATCTTGTTCATCCTTTCTGTTGAATGGTTTTGGTTCTAGCACTTCAGATGGGCTCTGAGAGAAGATTATTCTTGAGTCATGGACACTGTCAAACATATAAAATGCAACACACGTCAGCTTCTGTAAATAGCAGCTTCATTTATCAATGCTATATCAAGATCAAGTATTTAATTAATATGAAGCAGCTATCTGAAACTAAATAAAAAGAATTCTATTTTGCTAATACAACTGTTTGAAGAACATGCTTGATAAAGAATATAGTATACATTGGACAGATGCAATTATCTCGAGAAAAAATTAGCTGCAACGGGGATAGCTCAATAATGTTATGCTACATGGAAATGTTATCACGCGTGTCATAGTGCTATTGGTCCGTTTCATGGAATTCTTTCTCCATTATCTCAGACATCTGTACACCTTTGTACTTTTATGTTAGAGTTTTTTTTTTGGCCCCTTGTCAATGGGGACAAATTCATTTAACTGAATATATATATATATATATATATATTTTGCTTTTAAGTAACTATAATGCTCTTAAGGGTTCTCCAAAATAGTTTGCTTAGTTAAGTTGGAACTTGCAGAGTCCTATTCCTTTAAGTAAGACAACCAAAATAAACAGAAACAGTTCTTTATTTTGAAATGTAAACAGGGTTTCTGATTTTTTTTATTTTTTTGTTTTGTTTATTAAAGATGAAAAAAAGAAAACAAAAAAGAAAAAACAGACCTTGTAAACTTTTGTTTTTGTTTTTTTCCATCTTAAACATCTATCAGTGAAAACTGTAATTTTGATCAGTAGCTTATACAACCTGACAAAACGAAGAGAAAAGAAAAGGACACTGGTTCGTTCGTATATCTGTCCCCCTTTGCCTAAGTGGTTCTGGTTTCATGCAGACCATGTAACAGAATAGTACAAAACATTAAAGCTTCAAGAACTGATCTATGGAGGACTTATGCATCTATCAATAACAGACATGAAATAATAATAATAATAATATTATTATTATTAAATACAGCAAGAGATGATGATTTACCTGGAACCATGGAGGCTCAAACCAAGTCCACCTGATGGAACAGAAACAGCTTGAAGACACCATTGGATCTCAAGAGGTGGTTGCCTCATTTGGCACCTCATGTATGTCTGGTAACTTGCAGTTGCCATCAACCAAACCTTTGGCTTTGAGCTATTTTCATAGTCTGAGACCAACCTTGAAATTTCTGCAACTAAATGCTCAACTGGGCTATAACCGGTTGAGGCTTGATCTCTTCTCTCATCATCATTAATAGTCCATTTCAAGTCTCCCGTGTAAATGATAGCACCTCCTCCTCCTCCTCCTGCTGCACCTCCACCTGATGCAAGAGATGAGTCTATATTTCTTTTCAGCTCTGAAAGATTTGCTTCAACATCTTCTCTTTTCATGAACCTCAGAGAAACTGGTGAGAATTGGAACTTGATGAAATGGGTTGATTTCAGTTCCTCAGGAACTTGTAGGCCTCTTTCTATCCTCCCCATGACCTCAGAAACAAGGCCTTCAGTTATGGACATAGAATCACCAACTATCACAGTGTTCCTCTTCTTCTTCCTCAACAAGACCTCAAACACCAACTTGATATCTTCCTTAGAAGCAGAGTGCTGTGTGGAAGTAGTAGTGGTACTGGTGGGGTTGATCAATGAAAGTTTTGTCTTTTGTGGGGAAAAAAGAACTGGGTTTTGCTCACAAGTGTAAGACAAGAAATGGGTTTGCCAAAAGTTACCAGGAATATTATTATTTTGATGGTGATGATGATGATGATGATCAGTGGGAGGAGAAGGTGAACAAGGAGAAGAGAAAACCCCACCAGAGCTACTATAACACTGAAAAACAGAAGAGGTTGATGTGTCCTCTAAGTTGTTCTTGACATTAGTGCTAGAGAAACCAGCTTCTCTCATAACCCTGCTGACACTTGGGTCATCAAGGATGGAGATGATAAGCTGCTCCAACTCAACTTTGATGGTTAAAAGTGGTTGCTGCTGCTGTTGTTCTATGCAGCCCCTTCTCTGGTGGGCTTGTGCTCTCTTGAGTGCTGCAATCAGAGCATTGGAGAGAGAGGGCTGGCCATGGAGCAGAGGGCCAGGAGTTGTTGGGAGCCTGTTGAGAGCCACATTGAAGCAAAGCTCAAGAGCTCTGCATTGGAGAGGATGAGAAGTTTGGTGTGGCTGAGATTTGAGACAAGCCCTCCTCAAAAGACTGGTCCTTGAGCTGAGC